CAGCCTAAACTGCATAGTGAGACCTGGTCTCAAAAAGACATAAAGAAAAACTTAAAACAAAGCTCTTAGAGTAGGCCCTTCTCCTATCTGACTAGTGCCTTATAATAAGTGGAAATTTGAGCACCAAAATACCAGGAATAAGGGTGCACAGAAGAAAGACCACCTGGGACCGTGCAAGCCCAGGAGTAAGGTCTCAGGATGAAGCCAAGCCTGCCCGCACCCTGACCTTGGACTCCCACCCTCCAGAACTGTGAGACAACATAGCTCTGCTGCTCAAGCTGTCCAGGCTGCGGGACTTTGCCTTGGCAGCCTTAGACAAGCAGGCAGTGACATCCTCACAGGACAAGTGACACTGCTCCCTGAGCAAGGCACACTGCAGTCTCAGGAGGCATCAGGTCTCTTGAGGGGAGCGCCGGAGGTTTGCCCTGCAAAATAGTGTCCCTGCTCAAGACCCATACACAGATGGTAAGGTTAGAGGAGCAGCTGAGGAACTAAGGATCCCCAACGGACCCAAATTTCTCCTGTGATTTCCTCTGCAGTGACAAGGAAGCTGCGTCTGTGCTCTGCAGCCAGCCTGAGAGACAACACCAGACGTGCAAGTCTGTGGCTTCCTGGTGGCATCTTAGGCCAGGGACATTAACCTCCTGGGGATCCGTTACATCATCTCTAGAACAGGGACCACAAGGGTGGCTGAGAACACCAAGAGAATTTCTCTGGTGCCCACCATATAGTAGGCCACCACGTAAAACAAGGATGGCTTCCTCCTTCCTCCTCATACTTCACATGTTACCTAGACACCAAACGTGACCTAGACCATCAGATAGCCCATCTCCCACAATCCGTCTTCCTCTCTGGCCAAGCCAGCTTCTCCAGTCTCGAGCACGCACCCATGCACAAAGGCAGAAGTCTCTTCCAGAGCCCCTGGGAACATCCGCCTCGAGGCTCCCCGGAAGGCAGAGAGGGTACTAATGACACATGTAGCTTCTAACAACCCTTCCCACTACTCCCACCTAAGCAAGCTGAGGGACATTATCAACCAGGCTTTCTTGCACCTTAACTTCCAGCTCTGAGAGAAAAAGAGGGAACTGTCCAACACTGAGCACACTTTCAAATCTGATTCTAAAGCTCAAGTCAAAAGTTTGCAAAGCTGTGATGCCGTCACCTAGACAATTATGACAATTTCTATGCCATAAAGATATTTGGGCCGGGGATATAGCTCAGTGGCACAGCACCTGCCTGGATTTCTGGTACAAAAAGAAAGACATTGAAGGGTTGATGAAACACAGGGAAAAGGGAGAAGGAAAATGCATAAAATTGTATAAAAAATTAAAAGATTTGGTCAAATAGCAGCTGGCTGCCATCTGTAGGAAGAGGAAAGTCTCTCGTCAGGCTGAAAACTCAGGCTCCAGACCCAAACTAAAATCCCAATCCTACCACTGACTGTGATACACCACGGCCCAGATCCCCAAGTCTTTCAGTGCCGGCTTTGTGGCACTGCGGTTAAGTGGTTAAGCTTGCAGCTTTTCTTTACTATTACTCTCAATCATACACAGCAGGGCCTAAAGGATCTCTTACACAGAGGTACTGATAACTATCTGAGAACTATGACATTCCTGTTTAAAAAGACAAACTAACAGGCAGGTGGAGGAGAGAGAAAAGAGAAGGAACAACATAAAAGAAGCAAAAAGAATCTGCTCTGAGAAGTGCTGGCATACCATAGATCTGAAGAAAGATTAACTCACAGCCTCACAGGAACAAATACAGAAAAGAGCAATGAAAAGAAGGCAGGACAGGAGTATCCCAAATTTGGGACCAGCCCAGACGGCCTAAGGGCATCTTGCCTCCAGAACAAAAAAAAAGTAGCAAAGTGCTTTCACTGTCCTCATTTAATCTGCAGAATAATGAGGCTCATTCCTATAAACACAGGTAGAAACCAAGGTCGAGATGCTAAGTGATCTGCCTCAGGTCACAAAGCCAGAAATTTGGAGCAACCTGTTTGTGCTTTTTTTTTTTTGGTACCTGAACTCAGGACCTTGCACTTGCCAGGCAGGCGCTTTGCCACTGAGCTAAATCCCCAGCCCCTCCATCAATTCTTTTTTCTAAATTTGTATTAGTACATGTTGGCAGCACAGACCGAGTACATTCATCATGGGCAGTTGGTACACATACATGACATGTCTTAAGCTCTCCACTGATTCCATATTCTCTCTTTGTCCTTTATTTCTCTCTAGTCATGAATCTTAGGTCCAACAAATAGCCTTCCCACTCTGCCCCCAGTCATTAACCTTACAATTAACTTTCATGGTTGAAAGCAGCACCATTCAATGTTTAATCTATGCTCCTGCTGGATAAACAAACATTTTACACATACACACACACACACACACACACACACACACATACCCTGCCACCTGCATGGATTGCCCTCTCCATATCCTCTCAGATGACAGTTTTCCTTTTCATAGTCTGTATTCCTAAGAAAATTTCCCCCAATATAAAGTTATCACATTGGCATACAGATTGTTTAACAAAATATTAAGATTTAGAGACTCATTCAACTTATTCAACTTGTCAAATATTTAACTCGGTTCTCATGTAGCTTGCCCTGTCAGGGACCTATATACACATCTAGAGATGCCAGGATATAGAAGGTATGCAGTAGGTGCTCCATAAATGATTATTACATAAACTGGCAAGCTAAAAAGGGGACAGAGAAGAGTACACAGCTCGGGAGCCTCTTGACAAGTAACAGCTACCACAGTCAGCTATTCAGAAAGTTTGCTACATGCACAATTCAACCTCCAGTGTGAGTTAATGGTCATTAAAAAGCCATCCATTGACAGCGAAGTTTGTAAAAGAAAACACATAGTGGGCAAAAGTAAATAAACTTAAAGTATGCATGGTATGTAAATGATAACCAAAGAACTTTGAAAACTATCCAGTTGTCATATTAAAAGCCCAAAGAATATTCTTGGGACTGTAATATAAGGAAAGACAAACACAAGAGCCACAGGGAGCCATGACCAACAAGCGATGGTGTACCAAAGGAATTTCCAATCCAATTCCTCATCCGCAAAGCATCCCTCTGGCCTCCTCACTTAGCAACAGAGGCTTTCCTTACACTGCCATCTGCCTGACTTCCAAGTTCCAGGGTGTGTCTTCCACTATTAACTGGAAGTTGGTTTTCTTGAGGGGAATTAAAGTCGTGATTGAGCAAGAGCTCACCTCTGAAAGTCTCTCTAACTCTAGGTGGACAGAAATTAAAACCTGAGCCTGGTTAAAAGTGAAGGTCAAACTCTGGGTCAGAGATAATCCCACCAACCAGAGTAATTTGCCAGGCTGAAACAACCAGCTGATCTCTCTCCTCGGCATCTGGTTAGCTGTCCCAGAAACGCTATAGGGAAACAGGATGAGAACCTGTGTGGGGATGACGTACCTTCATCAGGTCTCACTGGAGTAGGGACACACTGCCAGAACACTTGGGTCATCTCAGAGTTCTGAGGACAGGGAGCATTGGCTAAGAGGACTATGCTATGGCCCGGAATTCCAAAGGTCTGATAACAAGAAGCAGCTAAGAAACTAGAGTGTGACAGCACTCAGGATGGGATAGCAGTCAGAAAAGTCCAACCCAGGGGCTGGGGTTATAGCTCAGCGGCACAAGTGCCTGCCTGGCAAGCACAAGGTCCTGAGTTCAATTCCTGGTACCAAAAAAAAAAAAAAAAGAAAAGAAAAGTCCAACCCAGAGAAACAGCTCACAAGTAGAAAGAGCAGAACTTCAAAGCATGATGGTTGAGGATGAAAAAGCAAATGAGTGCAAAGCCTCAGCAAAAGAAATAGCCACAAAAAAAAAAGGTTCGTGGAGTAAAACAGGACATCAGCAGATGGAAGCCAGCAGCCACAGGTTAGAGATGTATGTCTAGAAGCCACCCCAGTATGGAGGAAGAATGAAGTCCTACAGGCAGACAGAAAATGAGGGCAAAAAATGGAAACACATATCAGAGGGTAAGGCAGAAGCTAGAGAAAGATGGTAGACTCGGAATAATCATGCACTTTTTAATAGCTGCAGACTTACAGATAGCACCTAAGACATCCAAGCATCCGTCTGCTATTGACATTTTAACTCATTAAAATGACTATACGGAAGCACGGTGTGGTGGTCCACGCCTGTAATCCCAGCACTCAGGAGGCTGAGGCAGGAGGACTGCTGTGAGTTCGAGACCAGCCTGGGCTACAAAGTGAGCTCAAAGCCAGCCTGAACGGCATAGCAGGACCCTGTCTGAAAAACAACACCAAAAAAAAAAAAAAAAGGCCACTCGCCCTCCCTACCTGACCAGGCCATTTGAAACTGAACAGGGCCCCGTACGGGTTAGCCCAGTCAACAGAGCAAAGTAAGCTGTTCTCCACAAAGTCTTCCATCTGACACTGTCCTCCACACAATTTGTAAACAAAACATAGCAGACCTGAGGTCAAAGAGTACACCTTTGCAATGGCATTCCAAGTGTCATTGGTTAGATAAAATTTCCATGACTCCACTAAAACAAAATCAGATTTTTTTCTGACACCCTGCAATTGGCTTCTTATCTTGGGCATAAAGCACAACCCGATGCCTTTCCGCACGAGGATGCCCAGTGCCCCAAGGACCTCTGGAACTCGGGCTATCAACCAAGGGCAGCGAAGGGGTCGCGCAGGGCTCAGAGGTTATGAGCGAGGGCGCCGCAGCCAAAGGCTGTCGCGGGCTTCAGCTAATCAGTAAGAGGATGCCCAAGGCAGGCCCCGAGTGCGGTGGCCCCACAAGCTGGTTCGGGGGTCTCAGCCGGGGAGACGCTGCGGGTGAGACCGGGACACCGACCTCGCGGCCTCTGCCTTCTGGACCCGGCTCTACGCGGATCGGCTGTCGCAGCCCAGGCCCCGCACCATCCCCACCGCCAGGTCCCCAGCCCGGCACCCCGCCTCCCTCACAACCCCGGGCCTCCCCGGTCCCCAGGTCCCCCAGCCCTCACCTCCAGAGTCTTCACCAGGATCTTCATGTAGACCTCGGAGATGCCCAGCGATACCCCGAAGGCCGAGGGCAGCAGGATGAGGCCGAGCACCAGCGTCAGCCAGGTGGAGAGCACCTTGGTGACCAGCTCCGTGCCCTCCATGCTCGGCCGCGGAGCACACGCGCGGCTGTCGCCGGTCCCCTGGTGGCCGGGCCGGGCTCGCGCGACCTCTGCGGCGGAGAAGAAGGAAAACTAAGAACTGCGCGACCGCCTTCCTCCTTCCAGCCTTCCTCCCCGGATCCCCAAGCTGAGGTCCACTCTCCGCCAGGGGCCAGGGAGGAGCCGGAGCAGGGTAGCCCCAGGGAGTGCGGAGCGAGTGACTCACAGCGCTCCAAGTCCACTGCGCCCACCCGGCCCCGAGAACTCTACTTCCGCGCCGCCCCGCCCTCGGGCCGCCCCCGCCCC